TTGGTTGTAGGATTTTTATTTTTTACTATCTTTAACAATATCTAAAATATTAATTAAATTAATAAAAATATATAAAATTTTAATTAAAATTAATTAAGAATTATAACAGTATATAATTTTAGATAAGGAATAACTTTATATAATTTTAAATAAGTTACTGTATAAATAATTGTTAGACAAACTTTGTTGTAAAGTTCTAAACTTCAAATGAACATGTATGGATGCATCATAAGTTGAAAACAGGAATTTAGAAGTTGTACTCATTGTTGAAAGGCTAAATAACAACTTTTTCTAAAATACATAATATTATTGCATTATTACTGGCTAACCTCTAAATAAAAATAATAAATTATTATATTCATCATTTTAGTTAACACGTGGAGTTGTGAATGATAATATAAATAAAGTTGTGTGTGTAGGTTTTTTTTAAGAACATGAAAGCAAGATTCGACCCCCATACCTCTATTAAAATGAGAATGCCTTTCACAATGTATAGGTGGTTAGTAGAGCATGAGGACTTTTCGAACGTGTGGCTTGTTGAACGGTTGAAGATCCATACTCTTCATTTTTTTTGGCACAATTACATTCACTCCACAAATTTCATTTGGACAAATTACTTCTACTCATGCGTATGTTTCATCAGACACCAAAAAAATCCAAAAAGCAAGCAAAGAAAGACCAGCCGATAGCCTTCAGGAATCACAGTAAACATTACAATCCCTGTAAATAAAATTCTCAATTTTGCCGTTCAAAAAAAAGATTATAATCCCTGTTACCCTGCAGCAGTGACATTGGATATTAAAACTTCGTTCGAGAACATATTTTCGTCTTTTAACTTTTAATTTTTATGTTTTTTTATTATTTTAAAAATATATAAAATATTAATTAAAATAACAGAAAACTGTAACCCTGCAGCAGTGATATTGGATATTAAAACTTCGTTCGAGAACATATTTTCGTCTTTTAACTTTTAATTTTTATGTTTTTTTATTATTTTAAAAATATATAAAATACTAATTAAAATAACAGAAAATTATTTTACAAGACGGACTGTATGCAGTTCACTCTGTAAAATTAATTAAATACCCCTAAAAAAATAATATAAAAACAAATTTAAGAGCATTTAAGTAATTTTACAGGACGGACTGCATACAGTCCGTCCTGTAAAACAGTTTTCTGTTAAAATAAATATTAAATATATTTTATATATGTTATATATTTTTAAGACATTAAATATCTGAAAAACCTAAAACTGCCAGTATTGTCAAACTAAGATGCGCACCTTCATAATCCAGGTAGGCCATCCACATTTGCAAAGCATTATCAGCAGCCACATGTTGCCTTTTATGTTCCACTAACTGCATCGTCGTGACCTTAATAAAACCTATAAATAAAGCAAAAGGCTCCTAATACTAAAAATTTATGCTGCCATAACAGAACATAACCACTTTCAAGAATGAATTACAATACAACTTAGCCTTGTCACGTAACCTAACCATGACAGCCTTCAGGATTTACAGTAAACATCAAAATCCTTACAACTCTGCAGCAATGATATTTGACATTAAAGCAATATGAAAGTCAAAATCCATATAGCCTATTGACATTTGCAACGCATGATCAGCAGCCAGATGTTGCCTTTATGTATCTCTAGCTGCATCAAGACATCCAATAAAACCATACCCTATTGACATTTACAAAGCATAATCAGTAGTGAGATATTCATCAAAAAATAAAAAATAATTAATTAATTAATAAAAATCAGCAGCCAGATGTCGCCTTTATGTATCACTAGCTGTATCATGACATTCAATAAAACCAAGAAAGCTGAAGACTCCTAAAACTAGAATGTAATGCGGCCATAACAGAACATAATCAATTTCAAGAATGAGTTATCATACTACTCATTATTCTCACAGAACTGGCGTACTCGAGAAATAACCTGTGTCTCCAATATGCATATGTTTTCTCTGCATACCGGAATATATTTTAGCCATATAAAAACACAGCAGAAGAAATTTAGATGTCAGAATTTATGGGAGTTAAGCAAGGGGTAATTTAATAACTGAAGAAGAGACATAGCATCTTGTCAAAGGCAAACACATTCACATTCATTAATCATAGTCTCTAATCTTACAGAATAAGTGTGAAATGAGGATACATTAATCATTCATACCCTTAAAATCTGAAGCTTGGAAGAAAACGCAATGGCAACCCAATCAGGCTGCGAGGAGGACCACTGCAGCTGCTCAATCTCAGCCCCTGCGGTATAAGCCAGAATTGGATCCAGCCCCCCTTCAACGGGCTGACCCATAGATGATAAGTCCCAGATTAATGCCTGAGAATCATCCCCAGCAGTGCATATGTGGCAAGAGCTGTGTGGGGCCCAGGCAATGGCGTTGGCGCTGGCCTGATGCCTCTGCAACTCCACAACAGGAAGTGTTGGGAAGCGAATAT